AGGAACATAAGCCAGCATCTGCATAAACACCTTGATCCAGGCGGTATTTGCTCTTACACACTTGTGCTGTCCCTCCGGGCTTGGATAAGCACACTGTTACACATGCCTGCTTTGTATGAACTGGTAAAGTCTGCGGTTGATATGAACTGTTGAGTAATCCCACAGGCCTCTGACATAGTGGGAGAATATTACTTTGGCTACCTGAAGAAAAGATAGAGATGTGGTCCTCTCTTTTCATTAGTGTTGATTTTTCCACACAGTGATCACCTTCCTTTTGGGAAGTTCATTGCATTTCTCTGAGCATAACCTAACATCCTCCCATTCTGAATGTAGGATGTCTTCTTTGCCCTCTCACTCTAAGTAGGAAAAGATAGGCCACTCAGAAGTAAAATATCTAATGGAAAAAGCATGATAAACTGTTAGGGTACTTCCTGATGGCCTTGGGTTTCAGAGCTTTTACCAATCACTCTGGAAACAACACCTGTAATATTCTTCTTGCAGATTCTGTAAGCCTACATTTCTGTGTTTAGTTTTTTCCCATAGCTTTGAATGATGAGGTAGTGATGCACTACTGCTAAATCTTATCTCAAGCAGTGGTGGTGGCTGAAGTGCAACCACCTGCATGCCGGAGAACTGCCTCCCAAGCCTCCACTCTCAGCTGAAGGAAAGGTACCTATGGCCAGGTTTCCACATGGCCCTACCCCATTTGGCCGTAGCTGATAGAACTCTATCCTATAAAGTGTGCTGATCATGTTTTTTCTCTTGAAAAGTTGAACTAAAAGACACACTGCTGAGAGCTCTGGTTTCTGGAGCTTTAAAATTATTTAGATTTGGGCTTGGTAGGATATGCATGCTAATGAACACTGGCCAGGTATGCCAGTGAACAAGCAGGGAGTTCAAGTGAAGAAGACTGCGAAAACTGAAGCAGAGATGATGTCTCAGAGAGAAAGTGAGGAAGAATGGGAATGTGCACCAGAAGCTGCCTTGTTTCTCAGCACTGCCCGAAATTTAGCTGCACTTCCTCTTCGTACACATTCCCATGATACATTTGTGTGCTCATAATAAAAACCCCTTTGATTTAATTCCAGTTTAAAGGGATTTCAGTTGTTTAAACTTCATAAGACAATGCAAATGCTATTAGAAGAAATAATAACAATACTGTAATTTAGAAATGAAAGTCACATACCTAACATACTCATGTTGGTTTTAGGACTATCAAAACTATAGCCTTGATTCTAGAATTTATTTCCACTTAGATTAGGATGCCATGAATATATTTAAAAAATGGAGTAGGGTAGTACTTCGCAGTATTTATGGAGAAACAAAAGCTGTGCCATATAATACGTAGTGTGAAGAAGGAAATGTATTGCTTGTCTTATGAACACTGACATCAGATCTATGCCAGTGAGTAATAGAAGCCTTTATTGTTTTGTCTTTTTTCGTCAACAAAAGGCAAAAATAAAAACAAAAAAACCCTTATTTAATATAGGATTTTCTAAAACAACACAAAATACAGCCAGACCTATAAATATCCGATCATTTATTTGTATATACTCCTGTCATGTTTTACTTTATGAATAAATCCCAGAAGTGATGAAAACCTTAAATCATTTTCTAATACTATTTAAGATTCTGTCCCCCTTCCTTCACCATCACCTCTGATTTAAATCTTTTAGCCATGAGATGTTCAATGAAAGAAGACAATTCTTAAGGTTCTTTGGTAATTAAATCACAATTCTGGGGGGTGTGTGTGTGTGTATGTGCGTGCGTGCGTGCATGTGTGTGTTTTCCTCTCAACATTCAGCTGTAGGTGAGCTTTTTGTGAGATAGTGAAGCACAGTAGCAAAGAACTCTGGCCCTGCCTGGAGCCAGACTGTCCAGGTTCCAATCTTGACTTCATCATTTATCAGCTGCAAGTCCTTTGATGTTTAAATTATGTAATCTCTTTTCTCATCTCTAAAACTGGGATAATAACAGTGCCTTCTTGTAAAGGTGGATGTGTGGATTAAATGAGTTAAAAGATGTAAAGCTATTAGCATAGATCAATTAGGTTAGCTGTTATTTATTATTATTGGAATGGATTAAATATCAAGTCCACCTCCATTTACTGCGGTTGGATTAAGTAATTGGTTCTTACTAAATGAATTTAAATTGGAATCTTGAAGTGTTTTAAGTTTTATATTTTAAAAACTTTAGACCTAGTGGGGTAGAATAGAGATCATCCAATCCATAAGTGTCATGTTACAGATAAGGAAACTGACATGTGATTATACTCATAAAGTGAGTAAAGGCAGAGCTGAAATTGGGCTTCAGACCCACAGACTCCTCACATAGTTCACACTCTGTCCGATGACCATCAGGTGGATAATTGGTCCTGAGCCTTACATTCTCTGTGTCTCCAAGAATTCGTTTATAGCCCAAAACAAACAGATGTTTTATGTACAAAGACAGGAATGCCAGTGAAAAATCAAGAAGAGTTCAAGTGTAGCAGAAGATGTGAAGATTGAAGCAGAGATTATGTGGTTTCAGAGAGAAAGTGAGGAAGAATGAGGCTTGCACAAGAAGCCATCGTGTTTCCCAGCACTGCATAAAGTTCAGCTGTACTTAACTGTTTGTAGAAATGCCCAGGGTACCTTTCTGTGCTCACCTGTCCCCTTTTCTCTTTGCCCTTCTATTTGCATGAATAGACTTGGCCAGTACCCTCAGTGGCTCATGCTTTTAATCCCAGCACTTTGGGAGGCTGATGTGGGCAAATCACCTGAGGTCAGGAGTTCGAGACCAGCCTGGCCAATATGGTGAAACCTTGTCTCTATTAAAATTATAAAAATTAGCCAGGTGTGGTGGTGCGTGCCTGTAATCACAGCTACTCAGGAGGCTGAGGCAGGAGAATCGCTTGAACCCAGGAGGCAGAGGTTGCAGTGAGCCGAGAGCATACCACTGCACTCCAGCACTCCAGCTTGGGCAACAAAGTAAGACTGTCTCAAAAAAGAAAAAAATAATAGGCTTGATCTCAGTATTTAAATAAGGTACTGCTATATTGTTTAAAATAATGATTGTTGAAAATACCACCTTTGTGTTTCCCATAGATTTGTTCAGTGTAAGCCTGAGGCAGAACTGCAGCTTATGTTTATGTAGGACTGATGTTGGAAAGATCATTATTTTAAAAATAACATCTCCATGAAACATTGATGAATGCAAATTTGACATCAAATAGATGTAATTGGAGTTTCTGTACAATTATATGTTTTGAAAGTGAGATTCACTTATATTCTCTCTCTCTATATATACATATATATGTATATATATATGTATATATATACACACACACATTTTTTTTTTGAGACAGTTCTCACTCTGTCTCCAGGTGCCAGGCTGTAGTGCAGTGGCACAATCTTGGCTCGCTGCATTCTCCGCCTCCCAGGTTCAAGCAATTCTCCTGCCTCAGCCTCCCTAGTAGCTGGGACTACAGGTGCACACCACCATGCCCAGCTAATTTTTGTATTTTTGGGAGAGGAGGGGTTTCACCGTGTTGGCGAAGATGGTCTCGATCTCTTGACCTTGTGATCCACCCTCCTCGGTCTCCCAAAGTGCTGGGATTACAGGCTTGAGCCACCGCGCCTGGCCGCTCAATATATATATTTTGACAGAGTCTTGTTCTGTCACCCAGGCTGGAGTGCAGTAGTGTGATCTCAGCTCACTGCAACCTCCACCTCCTGGTTCAAGCAATTCTCCTGCCCTCAGCCTCCCGAGTAGCTGGGATTACAGGCATGTGCCACCATGCCTGGCTAATTTTTGTATTTTTCTAGTAGAGACGGGGTTTCATCATGTTGGTCAGGCAGGTCTCGAATTCCTGACCTTGTGATTCATCCACCTCAGCTTCCCAAAGTGCTGGGATTACAGGTGTGAGCCACTGTGCCCGGCAGTATCCAAAATATATTTATTGTGTGTGAAAAGCATTTTGCTAGGCACTGAGGTAGTTTATACTAAATGTAAAAAATAAATCTACAGAAATTTGCACTTCACCCTGATTTACTACCCTATTAAGGGTTAGCAGTCTTCCTGCCTCCTGAATTTTTCTTCCTTTTACTAGTACTTCTTTGTAAAATACCAACCTAGATATTCTGTCTTTGTATGGAGCTAGTGAATGGGCCTACTTGCACTTACTCCTCAATTTGGACATGACTTTACCTTGAGAAAATATGTAGGTTTTGACACCATTTTTGCTAATAATACTGTCAGTCAGTGTTTACAGTTCAGTGTTATGCTAATTGATGTAGGATTTTTTTCTATCACTTTCTATAAACCTTTTACAAATGAAACATGGAAAAGTAGAATTTATACCAGACTAGTTTAAAAACACTTTGTGACAAATGTAACATATTAATGTAGGATGAGAATAGTAGGGAAAACAGTGTCGGGTATATGAGAACTTTCTTCACAACTATTCTGGAAATATAAAACTGTTTTATAATTAAAAGTTTATTTTTTAAAAATTCTCCCCAAAAGACACACATACAAAATTATTATGATGAAATAAATTGCAGCAATTTAATATTAGCATGGTGAGCAGCTTTTATTCTGTTTCTCCAAATAATATAAAATAAAATTATCAAGGCTGAATTATTTCAATAAGAGAAAGGTCATTGTTCTTGTAGAAAGTCCTAACATCTCTAACAGCAGGTTAGAATTAGAAGGGAATACAAGTGCAGAGTCTTGGTGTTAAAATTTTAAAACTGGGATTAAAGTTATTATTTGAGACATTTTAATGCCTCAAGGACAAAAACAAAGACAGCTCTCTAATTCCTTGGCACACTTTTATCTAGAGCGTAAATGTCATTTATAAGTTGGTGGGGTGCACATCCCCACCGAGGGCAGTGGTTCATCTTTGTATCTCCAGCCATGGTTCATAACCATGAGGTTATCAGCGATCAGTGAATGTTTCCTGAATTGAGTGGAGAGGAAACACTTTCACACAAAATAAAGACAACAGAGAATCTGAGGACCTCTAGACATTTATTCCTTTTGAAGCTACTTCCAAAAATAAATGAGCTAAAGAAAACCTTCCTAGTTATGATCTTTGCATTGGTGATCTTCACACTGCTATCTTCTCAAGCTGCCAAAGTCATCCAGCAGCCCCGCTCCCCACTGCCAAGGATTGTTCCTCATCAGCTGACTTCCTGGGAAAGGGCTGGTGGCGATGATGGAGGCAGTGGCACCATTATTGCAATTTCTGGGTGTCCTGGCATGGGCCTTCTTCAGACCTTTGGTGTTAGGGCTCTGGCCTGTGGGAATGAGGTGGGATTAGGAGTAAAGCTTGGAAGTGAGTCTTAGATCCTACCCTACCACCAACAGTCACATTTCTCTTTACTCTTTTGTCTCCATCTCCTCTCCCCACAGCATTCTTGAAATTGTAGGCAGAATTCCAAAAAGCCTGACATAGTTCAACTCAGACTGAGGGAGTTGTATAATCTCTCCTGGGAAAATTGAAGCCCCAGTTTTAATGGCCAGACTATTTGTCTGGAAGCAAAATGTACAACTTTATCACACTAGTTTTGAGTATTTAGAAAGGCCCTCATACTCTGTTACTCCATTAATAAAACAGGAATACTTGCTACCTAAATAAATGGAACCTAAAGGTAGTGAGAATTACCAAAGACTGTATCTTGTGTTTTGAAAGTAAGGTTGTTATAAAGAATTACCTGTCCCTCTGTCTATCCATTGACACTTTCATTTTGCTTGATTTATATCATAGGAATTTTTTCAACAAGAAGGGCTATGATGCAAGAAACAATTGGCATTTCTTATAGACATTCTTATGGTGACATAGATATTGGTTACAGATGTGAGTAGGGTCATCTTTAGTGCAACTAAAAGTTGGAATTAGTACTGGACTGTAGTGCCACAGCAGTTCTAAAATTTCCAGCATTGGACTAGCTGGGAGTTTGAGGAGTGACTCTGGCTTTGGCTGCTACAGAGAAACAGATGTTACTATTCATGTATTCACAGTCTTGTCACCAAGAATCTATCATTATTATTATTATTATTATTATTATTATTTTGAGACAGAGTTTCACTCTTGTCACCCAGGCCGGAGTGCAGAGGTGCAATCTCAGCTCACCGCAACCGCTGTCTCTCAGGTTCAAGTAATTCTCCTGCCTCAGCCTCTCCAGTAGATGGGATTACCGGTACTAGTCACCCCGCCCAACTAATTTTTGTATTTTTAGTAGAGACGGGGTTTCGCCATGTTGGCCATGCTGGTCTCAAATTCCTGACCTCAGGTGATCTGCCCACCCCAGTCTCCCAAAGTGCTGGGATTACAAGTGTAAGCCACCATGCCTGGCTTACTATTTTTTAAAGTTTGATTATACTTTACCCTCTCCTTTAGTTATATTTCATTGAAATTGGCATTCATTATTAGTTCTATATTTGCAATACCATTTTTTAAAGACTCCAGATAGTCCTAGATGGTTCCACATTTTCTAATCTGTATTAAAATTACCCATTTAAAAAAATTGTTTACTTCTCTGCCTTCTGTACTTAACTGTAATCTCTTTTAATACAGGGACTCATGTTGTTTTACTTTTGTCCTCAGCACCTAGGAAAATTGCTGTAACAACAAAAGCACTTGTGAAATAATAGCTAAATTAATGCTTTTAAAATTCTAAATGTTTATATGGATTTAATTTGATTATTAATTCCCTGTATTTTTATTTTATGCTAGAGCAATAGGGGTATGGGAAATACAGAGATCTGAAGTTGCATGCATGCTGTCATTCACTTTTGTTATTCACATCTGGATTCTGGGGGATTTTCAGCCTTATGATGGCGTATACATGTGACTTTGAACTCAGCCTGCTATTTCCAAAAAGTGATTGATTGGCTGGTTCTTTGGCTGTAATCTTCATTATTTAGAGGTCATGAATTTGATATGAACCAGTGAATTTATTATTTTTTTTGTTTTTTTTCTATAGCAATTTTTAAAATAACATACAAATTATTAAAGTAATTATAAATCTAGAGGCACAGGTAGATGACAAATCATTCATAATTCTCTACCTCTTACAGGCAACTATTGTTAACATTTTGGGCCTGTGAAGTGGTATGCTGATAAGTGTTTAGCAATCACTCTTTAAGTATAATTCCAATATGAATGTTGGTTGATATATTTGTTTATATTAATGAGTAAGATAAACATGAAACATAATGTGTCAACAAAAACCAAAACCAAAACATATATCAGAGTTTCTATTCATTTGTCAATTGCATGAGAAACCTCTTTGCTGATTCAGATGATAGTTTTCAAATACTGGAAGAATGTTTCCTCAGTTTTTTGTTCTTGTCATAATGTAACAGCTCCACATATAACATGCTTTTAGGTTGAACATGCATTATTACTAACACTTTCTTCATCACTTTCTTAAGTTTAGACAATTAGTAAAATGATAAATTAAGCCCTGATTTGCCAGTTTTGTGGTATAAATATTCCCACCATGGCCAATTTAAAGGTACCAATATGATACCACTGGTGATGGATTGGGAAGAGATGTACAGTAGCACATCATTAGAGGTAGTAAAATTTAAGAAAATGATTAGGAAATGATGAATCTTTAATATCAGCTTTATTTTAATTGTAAGTTTATATAACTTAATTTTTAATAATGGTTACATTTAACAACTGGCTTGCAAAATTTCTAAAAATTCAATTGTCAGCTCACATGTGCCACTATAAGCTAGCTCCAGCACGTCACTGGATAGGTGTGTTCTCACTTTTCTTGTATAAATGTAATTATACAAATATGTGCATGGGGTGTCTGTGTGTGTGTGTGTGTTAGTCCATTCAGTCTGCTATAACAAAATACTATAGACCAGGTGGCTTATAAACGACAAAAAAAAATTTTCACACTTCTGGAGGCAGGGAAGTTCAAGATAAGACACCAGCAGACGTCGTGTCTAATAAGGGCTTGGCATTTGGTTCATAGACAGTATCTTCTTGCTGTTTTCCTTTTCTGACAGAAGGGGCAAGGGATCTCTCTCAGTCCTCTTTTATAAGAACATTAATCCCATTCATGAGGACTCTACCCTTATGACCTAATCACCTCCCAAAGGTCACACCTCCTAGTACCAAAATCTTGGGAGTTAGGATTTCAATATATGAATTTGATAGGGACACAAATATTCAGACCATAGCAAAATATATACTTTTTAAAGTAAGATTTTACAAATATTGGGATCATACTATTTTATAGTTCAGGGACCTGTTTATCTATCTTGGAGACATGATTCCAGTGTCATTTGGTCATGAATGCTCTTTTGCTTTGGCACAGTCTGCACTTCAGGCCAGTTCACCATGGGTGTAGCTGGTCATAAGGAGAGGCTAGATAAGAATAGCTGAATAAAATGTCTACGGTGTGGCAGGAAAGAAGAGGGAATGAATGGGGATGGGGCAGCATATGCCCCCAGTGTAGCAGGCCAGTTATTTCAAAGTGTGCTGCCAAAGGAGCTATATGATTCCTCAGGCAGAGTCCTTATTTTGAGAACATTTGCAATCTTGCTCTGTCCACCCACATATTATGCCCCATCCCTTGTTCTGCTGGACTCTGTACCTGCCATTCTCTACTACGTTCTCTGCTGTACCTTCTTGCATCCCTCCTGTCTACTTCTTTCTGAGGCTGAGAGAAGGCACATTTCCTCTCTGTGAATCTTTTAAAATATCCTGAAAAGAGAACTGCTTGTATGGGGACAATTGTAGTCAGACTCAGTGTCTATAGTCCTAATGAATAGTCGTTCCCCTTACATGATGGTATCCTAGATACATAATATAGTACTAATATCCTAAAACATACCTCTCTCTGGGATCCCAAATCTAGATGTTTACTGTACCTTTAGGGTCATTTTATATAACTATTGGGAGATTAATTTAAAATTTAAGTTTAATTTTAAATGACTTTAATGTCCTTGGGCTACCAAATATGTTCTTGGTATCCAGTGGGAAAGTTCTCCAGTGGCTTTGCAGGAAAAAAAAAAAGATAGCTGGTGGGAGGGTTGCTAGCCCTGCTTGTGTCATGGAGAAATTGTTGAGATTTACAGTAAAAGTTTTGTGCCTACCCACTGCTGAAGTTTCTGTTGCAATTTCCAGAGAACAAATCTTTGATTGTTAGAATGAATTCAGCTGTTTCCATGTTTTGTTTACATTCTTTGTTAAAGCCTTCAGCTTTATAACAGAAACTCTTTAAGAGCTGCCTATTTTTGAAAGACTCAGTTAAATCAGTTTTGATTTGATTTGAGATGGAATATTGCTCTGTCACCCAGGCTAGAGTACAATGGCACAATCTGAGCTCACTGCAACCTCCACCTCCCAGGTTCAAGCAATTCTCTTGCCTCAGCTTCCCAAGTAGCTGGGATTACCTGTGCCCACCACCACATCTGGCTAATTTTTGTATTTTCAGTAGAGACAGGGTTTCACCATCTTGGCCAGGCTGGTCTTGAACTCCTGACTCCAGGATCCACCTGCCTCAGCCTCCAAAGTGCTGGGATTACAGGCGTAAGCCACTGCCCCCAGCCATGAGTTTTTAAAATGTGTTTGTTTTTATTAGTTATTAAATAATTTATGCATTTTTGGAAGTGGATCCAAGATGGCTGAATAGGAACAGCTCTGGATTGCAGTTCCCAGCGAAAACGCAGAGGGTGAGTGATCACCACATTTCCAAACAAATTTTTACTGCCCATAGACCAGTAGATTCCTGGGCAAAAAAGTGTCACAAGTGTCCAGTGTGGCTCTTTTAGCCGGCACAGCAGGTCTCTGTGCAAAAACTCACACAAATCCGGGCACTGTTTCAACTGGCAACTGGAACGCCTGGGAGACAGAGTTGCCCATTGAACTGAAGAAAAGGGGGCTGAAACAGGGAGCCAGGTGTTCTGGCTCTGCTGGTCCCACCCACACAAAGACCAACAATCTGAAATGCTCTGGATTGAGAATTTCACAGCAAGGCACAGCTGGACCTGTGACGGTCCAGCTCTGTGCAGGGAAGGGTGTCCACCATTACTGAGGCAGTCCACCACTACCAAGTCAGTCTGCCATTACTGAGGCAGTCTAACATTACCAAGGCAGTCTGCCATTACCGAGGCAGTCTGCCATTAAAGAGACAGTCCACCATTACTGAGGCAGTTCTAACTATACCCCTATAAACAAAACTGCAAGGAAGTTCACAAAGCAGCTGGGCAGAGTCCACAGCAGCTCAGCAACACCTATGCTGGCAGACTGTGACTATGCTACCTACTCACT